AAACGCGCAGTGAAATTGGATCGAGCAACTAGATCGAGTTTATTTTGTCATAAGGTAGTGTGATTATGCATGACACGAAGTATTTGCTAGTCTAGTACTGGAGAAATTAGCGTTTGGATGCGCATTGTGCGGCTTTAACCATAAGTGTTTGTTTCACGAGTGATGCCTATAGGGTAAGATCGAGGTTCATTGGGCATTGGCTGTGGATGAGTGAGGTGGTCATAGGGGTGCTTTTATTGGATACCTTCCTTAACATGAGGTGAGCAAGTTTTAATCTCAGCCATTTTATTTCAGAGAAGCACAAAGAAAGAGATGCTGGATGAACTGTATGAGATTCCTGTCAAAGACCTTAGTGTTTATCGACTGCAGCGGCTCAAGGTTCGTGTCAGTTTTATATCCTACACACCTTGGTGATTCGTGGTGGCACGTGCTTATCTGTGTATCCAATACAAATTTCCTCTGTGAGGTTTGTCTCGTTTGGACATGAATTTTCAGTGAAAGTAGCTAGGGTTCAAATGAATTTTGCACTTACTTTATTCTGCTAAACTGTATGGAATACACATAAGCAATGCTTAAGGATTTTCTCTGCACCAATGTAGATGAGAAATGCACAGGATCAACAGGTTCTGGATGTTGATGAAACTGGTGAGTCTTCACGTCATTCACAGCAGAAAATATACTCATAATGATGTACTTATAATGCAGGAATACCCGGTTTATGTTATCTTGTTAACAGTTATGCGAATATATGGGATAGACGTGTAATATTAGTTGTTATGTGTTAGCAGACATGCACAAGACTATATTCATATTTATGCATTGTCTTTATCTACTTTTTGCTGGGTAGTTCAATGAGAGAATAGTTATAGTAGTCTGTGATAGCAGGCTTATAGTTTGATCAGAAAGCCCATTTGAAAAATGAAATGCAATCCTTGTATCTGCATCACAGTTAGGCAATGGCTGTCGTATTTATGTATCTGACTGATTAACGTTATCACTTTTTGCTATTTTTTGTTAAACTAACAAATATTGGAGAAAACACAGATTTTGATGAAAATGTAGGTACTTGCTCGCATAAACCACTGAAATCTGTGATAAGCAGCAGTAGTCTTTACAAGTGTAGCTGCTGTGTGGCAACTAAATATGGGTTGGTACAGTTTTACCTGAAAGTATTAAAACAATACAGATTCTGATAATAGTTTTCGTGTTAATTAAGGATACTCTCAAGGTTTTACGAAAATTTTTACCGATTTTTCATTTTCAACTTTATTCGATGGCTAACACTATGTGCCACCTGTGTACATGCTCATTTCTCCATATAACGGTACATGTGAACTGTCAGAGCGTTTTGCTTGCCCGCGTACATGTGTAGTGAGCCGCGGCTGACGTCACAAAAACGCTGATTTCTCCGTTTCAATTTCTGACTTAGTAGTCGATGTATAAATGGATATTTCTCTGTGATTACAACTCGGAATAATTTAATTTTACACTCGTTTTAATGGTAACATATTGCTGTAAAAAAGTGCGCAGGGATTGTTGTTAAATGCCGTATTTTATGAGTTATGTCTCTTTATTCGCAAAAATTTTTTAATTCAAACGTGCGACTTGAATTTTAGGCAGTTTTTTTTATTTTTCTTGGTAAATATAAAACTTAAAGAAAAATCCTGATGCACTATTTTGGTACATATTGTGCTTAACATGTGGCGAAAATTTTGTATCCTCATTGAGAAAATGTGGTAATTGAGAAATATCCAAAATACCATTTTTACATAAAAATTCAAAATTTTTGTGGTAACATAATTAGGTGCTGGAAATTTCATAAAATTTTTTGCCTTGAGCATAGAGATATATCTCCTCTATAAATAAAACAAGTGATTGATTCGATTCATTCGTCAATAAACGTTTAATCTTCATTAGAGCAATACCCGTGAAAAAGGTTGAGAGTATCCTTAACACTAGCTCAAGCACGTCATTGAGCTTTGTGGTGAACAGTACATGTGGCTGGTACAGTAGTTCTCTGTGTTTGCTGCCGACAGATGTTGAGGCTTTGGTGAGACGGAGCTCAAGCGCAACAACGATAGATGACTGGCAGCCCTTTCCCACCCTCGAGGAGGCACTGAATCGCGTCAACTCACACGTCGGTTTTAACGTTGAGGTCAAGTACCCGATGCGGAACATGGTGAGAAATGCAGCAGCTTCCAACCAATTCAGAAACCTCCGCGTTTCTAAATCGTAAATAGATAAATGTAACATCTTTTCATAAGGAAGACAGCTTGAAAGCCATTTGCCCACTTGTAGCATGTTATTTCATAGGAGAGTACTTGAAAACATGTCAATTCTTCTTCCTTCTGCCTCGCATAATAGTTTAATTTATTTCACGTTCACGTAGTTCACGTAAGTATTGTTGTATAATGGTCTAACAGTGTATTCCGCACATGTAAATGTTGTTGTGTAGCGACCTTGAATAATACCAACTTCACAATTCATAGAACTGTTGTACGAATCTCATGACCACGCCATGAAAATCTCTGTCTCAATTTGCAACTTCAAAGAATTGCAAATTCTCTTCGCATTAGACCGAAAAATTATAAACGACACAGTGTATGATTTTGGTCCGTTTCTCACTCGCAGGATGGCACGACTGAGCTAGATTCAGTCTATTTCGAGAAAAACGAGTTTGTCGACAGGATCGTGACGGTCGTGTTCACCCACGCTGCTAACCGTAGGATCGTCTTCTCATCATTTGATCCGGACACCTGCATCATGTGAGCACGTTACTTATACAACTCATGCATCCTAGATGTATGGATAAGACATACAGTCGAACCTGTGTTTAAGGTTACTCAAGGTAAGTGACAGGAGTGACTTTTATAGACAGGCGTATGTGCTATAGATATAACCACTAACATAGGTTTGGCGGTATGTCGGTATATCGTGGGTGATGACAGCCCACATGACAAGGCACAAGTGGCTGAGGTGTGCCTGAGGTGGTGCTACAGGCCTTCCCTACCCGATAATTGCCAAAAATGGTACAGTTCCACATTCAATTTGTGCTGAATGGTAGAGCATGCTAATCTCAATCCTAACAGGAGTGAGATAATAACAGTTATCTTACACCTGATCTCATTACTTCTATGTTCTAAGTGTGGTGATTTAATGGCACACAGTATAATTAGTGTTAAGATCTGTCATGCATGGATCAAATTAGAGGACACTCTTAACTTTTGATCTTTTCAAGAAATAGCAGTGAGCCCCAATAAAATGTCTATTAGAGTTTTGCCATCCAAATATCTATCAATTGCCACTAAAGTCATAACACATGATCACTCACTCAATCACAAAGAGGACTTCCAGTCTCAATATATCTTGGAAATTTTAATGATGATAACGAGCCACAAATCGTCTGCTGTTCTGTTGCAGGTTGCAGCTGAAGCAGAATAAGTATCCCGTGATGCTATTGTCGCAGGGAGCGCACGGAAACCATGTTGGCTATGAAGATGTTCGCGCGCGAAGCCCTGAAGTCTGCATCCGACTGGTCAAGTGCGAAAAGCTACTGGTCAGTTAGTCAGCTAGCCCACATTCATGCATCAATGAAATTACAAAAATTTTATGGAGCAAAAACATCAAAAGTGCCTTTTAATATCTCTTGTTGTTATTGTTGACGTTCTTGTTATCATGGTTGTTGATTTTGTTATCTTTGTTCTTGTTATTGTTTTTGTATTTGTTGTCTTTGTTATTATTGCTGTAATATAAGTTTATAATGTATAGCATTGAACTAATGTATATTATAAGCACACACTTATTAAACTACATTTATTCAGTCACTGTCATTGTTTATAGCTAGCTTGTCACTGTTTCAGGGTGTGTGCATGTATGCTGGTGACATAATAAGGTTGCCACAACTGGTTACGCTGTCCAAGAATCTAGGCTTGGTCATGTTTACTTGGGGAGTAGAGGAGAATGAGGAGATACTCAATGTCAAGAAGCTCGGTGTGGATGCCGTCATATTTGATAGGTATATGTGTAAGCTTGGTGTTTCCTACCTGCTCACAGTTTTGAACTGGCATCTATGGTTGCCACGTTTCCTGCTCGTGCAGGTGGTAATCATCGTATTATTTCCCTTTCGATATTGCATCTTTAGCATCACTTCTCATTTCTCGTATGACATCACGTTTTTATTATAGTTTAATTTCTCTAGATCTTCCAATACGACGTTGTTAATAACATGTCTCATTTCTCTTTCGATGTCGCATGTTTAATATCATGTCTCATGCGGCTTTCGATATCTTGTCGTGTACATAGGATCAATGAGTATCACACCGGTGTGTCGCAAGAGAATATCTTCTTCGCTGAGGAGAAGAATCGCATGCAGAGTAAGCTGCAGGAACGTGGCCAGTTAAGACGATGCTCTGTCATAACCACGTTGGCGGACGGCACTGTGACCGTAACACCATCTGCAGTAGGCGTCGAAGGAGCTACAATGCAGCCAATGCCACCGCCTGAGAAGAGATTCAGTTCGGCATCTCCAGCGACCGCTTGTGTAGGTGAAAGTAGTAGGGTTAATGAGGCGACGCCAGCCAGTGTAAATGATAGTGAGGTGCATCCATTTGCCATTGCAAAAGATTAACTTGGGGATGTTGTATCGTCGGTTTCTGGCATACAAAGAAAATAAGAGTGGGACAATGAATAATAAAATAAGTATAGTGTGTGTGTGTGTGTGTGTGTGTGTGTGTGTGTGTGTGTGTGTGTGTGTGTGTGTGTGTGTGTGTGTGAGAGAGAGAGAGAGAGAGAGAGAGAGAGAGAGAGAGAGAGAGAGAGAGAGAGAGAGAGAGAGAGAGAGAGAGAGAAGAGAGAGAGAGAAGAGAGAGAGAGAGAGAGAGAGAGAAGAGAGAGAGAGAGAGAGAAGAGAGAGAGAGAGAGCATGAGAGAAGATGGAGAGAGAGAGAGAGAGAGAGAGAGAAGAGGAGAGAGAGAGAGAGAGAGAGATAGATAGATAGATAGATAGATAGATAGATAGACTAGATAGACCCTAGCAGTGCAGACTATTTAATTAATTTAAAATGCAGTTGTATTGTATTGTTTTTGTGTGGATTTCTTATTAGGATTTCATTTTGGAATTTATCGCCAATGCATTAAACACTCGATTTTTAACAAATTTCTGCACATTGATTCATCCTGTATGTGCAGAAAATGTGTATGTCATTTCTATGAAATGTATCTAAAACAGGGCTGGATGGAATGTTGGAGCATAATCTACATGTTATGTAATGTTTTGAAAAGTTTATAACTGAATAGTGACATTTGGCTTGAATGAGTAGATAATTCATTACCTTGCTGATGTCTTTAAATGATATGCAACCTCCTGCATGGTAGAGACTGGGTGGTGCCATTTTATATGGTGCTTCCTAAAAAAATACATGCGCACAACTAATAATTATCAGGAATGATGATAATATTTGCCCCACCATCAAGACTGTTTTATGTAATCAGGAGCTAATAATGACAAATTAATATTGACAATATAATGACAATAATTTGTCATTATTAGCTCCTGATGATGGGGATGTTAAGGATACTCTCAAGGTTTTAGGCAAAATTTTACCGATTTTTCATTTTCGACTTTATTCGATGGCTAACACTATGTGCCACCTCTGTATATGCTCATTTCTCCATATAACATTACATGTGAACTTTTAGAGCGTTTTGATTGTATCCTCACTCTTTCTGTTAGTTGAGAAATATCCAAAATACCATTTTTACATAAAAATTCAAAATTTGTGTGGTAACGTAATTAGGTGCTGGAAATTTCATGAAATTTTTTGGCTTGAGCATAGAGATATATCTCCTCTATAAATAAAACAAGTGATTGATTCGATTCATTCGCCAATAAACGTTTAATCTTCATTAGAGCAATACCCGTGCAAAAGGTGAAGAGTATCCTTAAGTAATGTTAAAGGGACAGTACCCTCTAGGATTTTACTGCATACAACTGTACTTACTGTATAACAAATCGTCTATATACCCACACGTATTTGTTACCAGATACCTAATTTAATTGTTATAATTAATTACACATCAACGCTACGAAATTTGAATGGCGCCATGACACCCGCGACCGTGCTGCCACCCCGAAAAAGTTGCGTATTTGACAATTCATTTTGCACGTTACAGACCAAGGGCTAATCACAAAAGTGCAATTATATTTATACCTAAATGCTATTTAACCGAACGATATTCATTTTAGGGCAAATTTATTCATATTATAACTGAAACTATATGTCGTTTATATGATATTACAATCCTTTTGCTTTTAAATGAATAAATAAGAAACACCCTCGGTCTGTAGCCCTTGGCAGGAAAGTTGTTTTGCGCAACTTATCAGATCGTGCTCTTTGAGTGGCGCCACCGTCGTTGTAATCAAACTGTAGTCTAGTTTTAAAACATTTTTTAATAATATTTCTAATGGTGATTGAACCATGACTTTTTATGTAGCGTAATCTTAACCTAAATTAACTGAAAATAACCCTAGAACCTAGAGTAAACGATCCCTTTAACTAATCTAAATAAATAAATAAACAATATTAGATCCTAATCATCATTTAATACTCATATTTAGATTTTGCTAACCCTTCAGTGACAAAGACCTACTATAAAACTAGTGCTGTGCTAGGCAAATCTCAATGGAAACACAAGATTGGCTTAATTTAGAAACCAGGTCGTTGATAGATCAAAATAAATGGCCAATCTTGGAATCCCAGAATTGTTCAGATTAATGGCCTGTAGCAAACAACCGTTGGTAAGCATTGCGTATAGTGATTAGATTCACTTGCTGACAAAATTATGGTTATGATAACAATGCAAAGTAAGCTGCAACGATTACATAGTGAAAACAGTGAAATTGATAGATTAAACACCAACAAAGAAATTAAACGAAAGATGCAATTATTATTCATAGCCAAACTCAATACACATTAATTAACCAAAGAAAAATGTTCAGCTGATTAATTTGAGTATGCTGGTCGTGGGCAATTGTAAAACTCACGATTATAAAGATTTCGCAAATTTCATTGTCAAAGTGCTACATACATGACATACATAGCTAAAAGCGTCATTCATTAGGCATCCCAATGCTATCTGATAGCGATCGGATGGAACTTGTTAGTAGTGTAGGTTTGTATGTTCATATAAAACATTACATACAGCATATGCATATCTCAACAAAACTACCAAATTGACGGTTTAGTTTTTTAAACAGTCGGCTGTAAAAAACTAATTACGAAACAAAAATGTATTCATTTTAGTTGTAAGTGCCATTTGGGCTTCTACACATTTCACCTGCAACATTTCTACACATGCTGTATTTCTTCCATGCTCATTGAGAAATGTGAATGCGTTATCTAATGAAGACCTTCTTTCGACACTACTGGATGACATTGAACATTGCTGATTACAATACATATCAATTATTCTTCTACCAACGTTACACAAATGTGTATGTTACTTTCAATAATTATAGTCACCACCTGATTTACCGCACGAGTATAAATGATGCGGACGATTTGGGGTACTGATACGTCACTACGACAAATATAACTAGTTCTGAATAAAATTGTACATATAATTTATATAGGCTGGATGATCCAAATTGGTCTTGCAAACAAAGAGTACATGGCCGTTGCTTGCAATCTGGCAAATTGTGTTACCTACATGGTTGCTGGCAGCATTTTCATAAAAAAAAGACCAACAACAAGTCTAAAGTCACTGCAACAGAGCATGCACTTATTGGTGCGTTCGATTGAATTTGATTGATGGTCAAGGGTTTACGTGCCCTGAGGGTTTCTGTGTGGTGTGATCAAGGACACCCCACCACTAAAACACAAGAAATCAACAAGACGGTCACAAAGAAATCACAAGAATCAACGGACCTAACACAGGTTGAAAATAGCAGCTGAGCAATGAGTAGATCATACTACACTGTAAACAATATCAAAATGAAAAATATATTTTGAACCTTTGTAAAAACTCGTGCTAGTCGAAGAACAATATTGTATAGACAATGTACAACATATGCACTGCTCAACACACGCGTTCTCAACGCTTGCAGTGAATTCCAAAATGGTCACCGCGTGCTCAAATTACAACAATGGATTACATAAATGTATTCAAATGGCATTCTGCACATTCGAAACAAGTCAAAGCTCTAGTCTCAAGCTTTTTTGGTTTTGCTTGGAAACTATATCCATTTGATATAAGAAAGTAACTCGTAATCCACAATGGTGATAGTCACGTCACAAAAATATCACCAAAACGCTGTGCAGCATTCGTTAATAAACAACCTTGCCAGTAGTGTTTTGCACGTGTACAAAAACAGAACATCTGTAGTCTGTGTATTATACTCTTACGCCGGTCTTGTATGACGACCATACGGTAACGTGTGAGGCAATATGTGGATTACTTCAGTTCTAATTCTTTACAAAGCTGTGGTTATGTCACTCGCCGAAAATTAGATGATACTAGCCACGGGAATGACCATGGAGATGATGGGGAGATGAACACAGGAGAAATAGGTGTAAATTATAAGATAGTCACTGATATGAAGAAGGAAACGGTTGGAAGTGGGGAGATTGAGGAAATAGTCAGTGGTGAGATTGAGGAAATTTTCAATGGAGAAATGGAGGAGATGGTCAGTGGGGAGATTGAGGAAATTTTCAATGGGAAGATGTAGGAGATGATCAGGGGGGAGATTGAGGTAATGGACAGTGGATAAAGGAGATGGTTAGAGGGAGTGAGGAGACGGAGGAAATGGGCATTCAGAAGATAAAGGGAGCTGGCGAGTGAGATGATGAAGATAGTGATAGAAGTGATTACTAATCATTGATTAGCAAGGTGGTCTTGGGTGATATGGAGGAACAGCCGAGGTTGAGTAATTATGCACAGTGACAAGCAGGGACCGCATTGGCAGAGACAGCAGGGCATCTCTAAAACACCAATTGCACATTTCCCCCTATCTATAAAACTTGCACGATCACTTGTGCACAAGACAATAGACTAGTCGTTATCACTGGTATGTGCTAACATACACCAAAGCATGTTATGGCAATTCGTTTCTATGTAGGCACACTGACTGGAACATTTACGACAGTTTATTAAACACTGTTAGTAGGGTACGTACATTCATCATGAAACACAACCATGATTCCTGTTATCTACCATTTTGGTGATCATCAACTTTCCCTGTTTTAATGCTCCCATCCGTAGGAACGTCATTTGACAAGTTCGAAGACTGGTGTATCTTATTAATCCTAGATTGCGAGTTTATATTTATACATTCATACACATGGTCTTCTTGATTGGCTAGGCTTGAACCTTCATCGTTCTTAGCTATCTGTTTAATCATACTTTGATCTTCACCTATATTTTTACAGGCGAAATCACTTTGGTGAGTCTCAACATCTTTGGTTAAATGAAGCTGCACCATACTGCTACTAACATCAGTGCCACTCGCACTGGTGGGGTCAACACAGTTGTTAGTTTCTATATTCATCGTGCAAGATGGTGCATCACCTTCTACCCTTGCACTAACGTCGAGCTGGATCTGGTCAGTGCTAAGTTGTGAAGGCTTTGCCTCTGCAGTATATTCGCAAGTGCTATTCTCCACACATCCACTTTTAGGCGGCTGACTGGTGTGGCGAGAATCGCTCGCTGTCACCGACATTCCGTTGGAGCCAGGGGAACACTTACCTTCTGGCAAGGTCGCATGCGTGAAGACAGCACAACAACAGATTCCTTCATCACTTCTTTCAGGGGAAGGTTGGGTGTTTTCCTGTGACAGTTTGCCTCCCCTCTCTGATGGCTGCTCGCCTTCTTTTGGCATTGCGGCCACCACGTGCACCGCCTCACCTTCCTTCATCTTCTCTTCCGCACAATCCACCTGCTTGCTTTCCTCGAGCACGTCCGTCATCGCAAGTGCCTGCTTACCTCCGCTTGGCTTCCCTTCCACCGTGTCTACCCGCTTGCCTTCCTTGGGCAAATCTGCCGCAGCATCCGCCTTGCCCTCTCGGGGCTTCGCTGCCGCGCCGTCCTTCGCCCTGCCTTCCTCCGGCGGGGTGCGCTGCGCGGCGACGGCGAGCTGGCGACGCCGTGGCACCACGACGTCGTCGGTGTAGCCGAGGCGCATGATGCCTCCCCGGCACTCGGCGAGCAGCTCGGCGACGCGGGCGCCGTCGTCGTGCGGCGAGGCGGCGTACTGCGCGCGCAGCCGCCGCCGCTCCGCCGCCAGCGCCCCCTCCTCGTACTCGCACAGCTGGTTGCGGAAGCCGAAGTTGGGATTGGCGCAGGTGCGCGCGCGGCGCACCGCCTCGAGGGCCTCGCGCCACGTCAGCTCGGTGACGGTCATCACGTAGGCGACGGCGACGGTGACGCTGCGCGAGACTCCGGCGAGGCAGTGCACGAGCACGGCGCCGCCGGCGAGCCGCGCCGTGTGGATGAAGTCGACGCAGGCGGGGAAGTGGACGACGAGGTCCTGGCCCGGCGTGTCGGACGCCGGCACGCACAGGTAGGCAACATCGTCGCGCAGCGGCTTCGCGTTGTCGTGCACCGACAGGATGTGCGTGATGCCGTGCTCGTGTAGCTGCCGCTCGTCCTTCGAGTCGCGAAAGTTGCCGACGTACAGGCCGGGAAGCACCTTGTTCATTCCATTCCCCATCACCCTGTGATTACAACGCCCTAGTCCGCTATCAGCGCCCTCTACTGACAGTGCCAAGCACTGGAGGCAGAAGAAAATCGATGACCTTGTGACAGGATCATTTGCGTTTTTGCTTGACAGTGCTTCCATCCATCTAGTGCTTCTGCGAGTGAAGATTATATCGATTTTGACCAGGGATGAAATTCTTTAGAAATAACCATAATAATGATTGTATTCATAAGCAGTACAGCAAGGGTTTTCTAACAAATTCTTAATAGAGCGAATTGTCACACACGTACAACACACCGGTGCTGACAAACTAGCATTAAACTACTTACCACTCAGGTTCATCACGTCGAGTGAGTAGATTCCAGATTGTCAGAACAAATGTTAGAACGTTGTACAGAATAACAACTATAATCAAAAGAAATGCAACCTCTACAAACCTGCCCTTTAGTTCGAACATAACTTCATATTAACATACCATGCACTGTGACAGATTGTCAATAATGATATGAAATAGCACAAAAAGGACATTTCAAAGCTTCTCACAGTATGCCACAATAGAGATGCCAAGTTAGTCCTATTTTTTGCTCCACTTTCATTACCACAGCAATGTAAAATATAAGTTTAGCTTGGCTAATATTACCAGATGAACAGAACAACAAGTCACTGAAAATGAGTCACTAATCACAAGCTTCCCTACGAGGTCCTCATAGATCAGATTGAAGACATTTCATCGCAAACTGGAACAGTATTTGGTAAACGTCATATCACAGCATTCACCACCTTTTCGATGGCGACAAATTGGTGCAGCTCTAATTTCACAGCAAGGGATGAAGCGTCCCCAGTGTTATTCTTTGAACTTCCACTCCTGTCGACACATGGGGCATTGCTGGTGGACCTGTTGTGAGTTGAGCCACTTCATGATGCAATGTATGTGAAAGCAGTGTGAACACTGACCCCAAACTGAAAAGAGATTGATCATAGCATGTTACACACTAATTATATATGGTTCGCACGTTAAAAAATAAATTTACAGTTTTTCACTTGCTACAAGATGCTGCAATGCGAGAGTGCCGAGGCGCCCAAAATTTAGATTGTAATGATCCAAAAAAATGTTTGACTGAACAATAGCCCTCCCCACGACCAGGTATATTGTTACCATAAATAAGGCTGGATGCTCGTTTTCCTGTTTTTACCACTGATTCCCTGTATTTTTAAGCCCTCCTCATTATCAGCATTGGTTCATATATAATACTATATATACTGTACACTATTCTGTTGAGGTCTATAATATTTGGTACCTGGCACTACCTGCATAGCTAAACAAAATCTTCGCTAAAGTAACATAGACTTTCCATGACCTCATCATCCAAAGCTATGCAACAGTATTCTGAGATTTGACAGATGACAGATAAGAAGGCCATTTCAGATATGCTATGAATGGAGATAAAAATACATTTTATCGATGAGCAGAATTTAATTGAGCATACATTACCAGTTAGAAAAATACAGCTACTATCAAAATACATTATAATTAGCAGTGTTTTGAAGTGGATAGTGTATATATTTATTATCAGTGATCACCTAGATCTGGACCCTAATTGAAAGCTTAATATTTTCTTTTGCACAGTTTAGTTGTAGCATGGTTTCATAAATTATTTTGCATCATTCAACCCATCGACTCTTTACTCCAACACTTGCACGCCATTTAGTCATGTTCAGTTTTTCAACTACTGGAAAACGTATAAATATGGAACTGTATAATAGAAGAGGGGCCTTGCCTAGAGGGCAGTCATCACCAGGAATCTTGCAGTCGGGGCAACAACCATCGAATGCCATGCGACAGATGCCACAGTTGTCATCGTTAGCAACCCAGCGCCATGTTGCAACAGCGGTCCAGCTCTTCACTGTTACTTTCATACTTCATCCTCTTCTGAATTTAAATCATCTGTAACAGACATGAACATGTGGGTTGAAAAACCAAATTCCACTTTAGAAAAGTGTTTCTCAACTCCTGTCTTGTAGGCAGAAACTGGGCCAGCATATTACTTTGAGTTGGTTGCTAGAGGTCTACAGTGAACGTTCAATATTACGTGGAATCTACTTAAGCTTTTATATAAGTTTTATGTTTAATAATACGTTATATCAGGAGTGAATAATCGAGATTTCTATTATTCACTCCTGGTTATATTATGTCATGTTATGTTAGCATATTTTGTTATGTCATGTTATGTTACTTTACGTTACGTTAAGTTATTATACTTGTCAGTGTTCCATACATGGAATACAGTGACAAGGCAGTGAATCTGCATGTAGCTAATGAAGTTGAGGTCTCAATAACTAGTTAGCCCCATAACATCACACCGGGCAGACCAATGAATCGTTCCGTAAAAATTTGTATAATTAGACACCTTCAGGCTTCATAGAATTCAGATTATTCCAAGGGCACAGTACATTGGTCTACACACCAGGCCAACCCCTTTACAGACAATGTGGGTCGTCACTGACACTATTGACCCGAGTGGTTATTTTTTGTCACAATTAGTACTGAAGATGGGCCTGCCATTTTATCATCCCAGATATAAGGGATTCGCAGTCCTCAAATTTTAGAGCCAGTCTTTTTGCACCTTGACTGCTTGAGAAAATTCAATTCCCTGGCCATCATGCAGAGCATGAACCCACATCCTTCGAAATGAAAGGTGTACGTGTATTATGTAAATAGCTGGCTAACAGATCTTTCATTTGACAAATTATAAAATGACACTCGTCAATAATCACACGTGAAACGAAACGTCATAATCATTGATGTTGTTGTCACTGTTACTGTTAGCTCTAGTACTATAGCCCGCGTACAGTTGCCGCATGCCTGTGGAGCGTTTCAATAAAATATAATGCTAAATAAATACGAAATCTATTTACTACCAGTCTTAATGTTTATCTACTCTCTTTCAGCTATTATTGCCGACAATTTCCGGTAAATGCCGTCCAAATGCTCATCTGCAACACGCTGGCTGCCGCACGCTAGCTGCTGCACATATATTTGTGTCTGTGCAGCAGCTAGCGTGTGGCAGCCAGCGTGTTGCAGATGGGCATTTGGACGGCACTTAACGGAAATTGTCGGCAATAATATGTGAAAGAGAGTAGAGAAACATTAAGACTTTGGTAGTAAATAGATTTCCTATTTATTTAGCATTATGTTTTATTGAAACGCTCCAAGTGCCTGTGGGCTATAGTATTACTATTAGTACTAGAGCTATGTTACTGTTAGTGTTAGTGACAGTGTTACTGTCAATGTCAATGACATTCAATAACAGCGCCGATTTGATGACATTGTCTTGCAGTGCTATTGACAAGGAGCAATGCTCGATGTGAAGTTATACTACAGTACTATTACTAGAACTCCGCATTTCTCCATGGCAGTAAACATTTAATTATCGAATTGATTACTGTAATCGTGGCAAAGACCTAATTGAAATTCCTCGCGTCTGGCAGTGCCAGTGGCCAGTGGCAGTTCAGACGCCGCGAGTTGACAAGAACTGATTACTGTACTGTGTAGTGTAGTGTACACCACCTCTCGATTCAAGATGGGATTGGATACAGAATTACAAATAATATTAACATTTGTTCAACATCAAAATCGACTCATTGTTATCACAAAAATTGGTTTATAATCACATTTTATTGGCATTGTCATTGACAGAAAGTCTTCACACAAAATTTCTACTCTTTACTGCCTTGTAAAGTGGTGCCCTCTATTCCAAATAAATTCAATAGTCATGATACCAAAAAATTGTATCTGCTTCATTAGTAAGCTACCAGTGTGAATAAGTTAGTTAGTAAGCCAGCTAACAATTCAGAATTCTTATCCGGAATTGCTAACAATTTGAATTGCACTTAGTCTGCGTATTTAATGAGATATCAGACGATAGATACTGTGCGATGCGAAGCAAGTGAACAGCTCGAACTTTAAGCCAACCCAACCAACCTATGCATAGCCGAGTATTGCTTGTAAACTATACGGTGATTGGTCAAGATGGGTCATGTGCCAGAAGTGTAACTTCTGTGGAGGACGTTTGTTTTCAAGTTTCAGGTAACAATTGTACTATTTGAGTATGTAAAAATAAAACGTAAAGAATACCACATTGATTGCTAATAAAGAATTGGGCATGTAAGAGTAATTAAAATTAAAATTGCTCCCTGTTCTGTGCACATTAACTATTATAGGTAAACATTGACTGTTGGTCTGCACCTACCGTTAGTCAGCGTTAGCACAAGATGGCGGGCGCATTTCGGCATTTTTATACGCAACTTCGCAAGTGCTCGTTATAAGACGACGGTCACGGGGTTCATAGCGTGTTAACTAGTTTATTGTTGTTGTATTTTAAAGTCAGCTAAAGTGGTAATAATTTGTCTTATTCGTAGGAATGATACTAATGACATAGACCCTCTCAGCCCCCGGGGTACTGCCGGAACGTACCCTGGGTTACAGTGGGTACGGTTCGGTATACCGGAACGTACCCTGGTACTATCTAATATGCCGGACCGTACCTCGTCTACTCCACTAACGAGTCTAGGGAGTCGCCTACGCCTACTCCCTAATCCTAACCCGAACCCTAACCTTAACCTTAATCCTAACCCTAACCATATCAAATAGTGACTAGGGGGCCCAAGGATAGAGAACATGGGTCCCAATAAAACCAATGTGCCTAACCTAGCTCTAGTACTATAGCCCGCTTACATTAACTGCCGCTGGCCGCCAGCGGCAGTTAATGCAAGCGGGCTATAGTACTAGAGCTATGCCTAACCCTACGTTCTAACCCTAACCTATTATATTGATATAATATTATATTTATATTGATGTAAATGACATTGGTTTTATTGGGACCCATGTTCTTTATCCTTGAACCGACCAGGGTACGTTCCGGTATACCGGACCCGGACCGGGTCATAGACCCTATGAGCGATACTAATAGTGATAGGCCTATTACTAATACTAGTACTACTAGTACTAGTAGTACTAGTAGTAGTAGTAGTAGTAGTAGTAGTAGTAGTAGTAGTAGTAGTAGTAGTAGTAGTAGTAGTAGTAGTAGTGGTAGTAGTAGTAGTAGTAGTAGTAGTAGTAGTACTAGTAGTAGTACTAGTACTACTACTAGTAGTATTACTATTAGATTCGTACCGGTATTTATTATTTATTGACATTGTTCATATTATTAATATTATATTAATAATAATAATATTATTACTAATACTAATAGTAATACTAGTACTCAGCAGTAGTAGTAGTACTAGTACTAGTAGTATTATTAATTAATAAATTATCCCCGTCACCAACGTTGTTAGTTACGGGTACGTCATACCCATGGCCATACATTTATTGACACGATTATATTGTAATTTCCCCTATCAAATATTTGACTGTATAAGTATAAGTCAACTAACACTAGTGTCGGTGACATTCTACATTATTATTGAGTTTGTAGGCTAGGTAACTTGATAATCTCATAAATGGGTGATAATTATGATCGTGATTATGGTAATGGTACATATTATCGGCATATATCAGCACTCATCAATTAATCACCTGTGATCAAGGTCAACTAATCAACTTTTTGGTTAGGAAGTAAAGATCATATTCACTAGTTAGCCATACACTAATTAGTAGTACTATGAGTTATCAATACAAACTTTTGCTTACACATGTCAGTCACTGTCAGCATCCTCATTCATTCTTTTACGCCCCTATAATACTGGACCCTGGCCCAGTACCCCCAGTTGTACAGTTGTAGAAATCACATTATACCATTCTACATAGTTAATCTAATGCTGCGTTTACACTATCGATTTTTGTCAGCAAATCGTACCGATTTCAAGTGCATTCCAACACAATCGGCTGAAATTCGATTGTGTTGGAGTCGGAGTCGGAGTCAAGTCACCGAGTTGGAGAAATAGAACGGGTTCAATTCCTCTAACTCGGCCTGAATCCGACTCCAACACAATCGAATTTCAGCCGATTGTGTTGGAGTGCGCTTGAAATCGGTACGATTTGCTGACAAAAATCGATAATGTAATTTGTAAACACAGCATAAGTCATGAAGAATTCACAGTCTCCAATGGTCAGGGCTAGGTTTTCACATCTTTAGAAAATTCAATGCCGTTTCTGACTGTTCAAAAGTGAATTTCAGCCGTAGGTCTTGAATTCACGCACTCTTCGAAGTGAAATACAATTCCCACCAAAGCTTGTATAAACTAAATATATATAGAATACCACAGGCTGTGTGAATGGCCAAGGACTAATTGGTAGCAGAGCTACTTTTTTAGACATGGGTGCAGGCAGTAGTTTTTGAGCATTTGCATTTGATAAATTGCCATATTTGGCCAAATTATCATGAATTAAGTTCTGATTACAGTAGCATGCTGAAGCCAACTGATTTGGTATGTATGCTAGGATCTCTTGGATAGCACTGGATATGCGATAGCCAACATGCTGCAGAAAATTTAGCACATATATTTTTGTCGACATTTCACCAATGCTGATAACTAATTTAACATACTGGAGGTATAATATTTTTTATTTTTAAAGTGTTGCAAATGCCTCATTGAACTTGAAGGTATTATGTTAAATTCTGATAATAACTTGTTTTGCACGAAACAGTTTCATATTTGGCTACTTCCACCCACTGCGCCACCTCCCTGATCCTCCATCCTCTATCCCTTCTGTTAACTTTTGAAACATGAAGTTTTTTAACTGACTGAAATGCCTATCAGACGCAGGAAACTAAAGAGACACAGGCACTACAAAAATGAGGTTATAAATAACCATGACTAATATTTTAACAACTAAATAGGAAAATACGACATTACTAAAATTACAGGGTCATAATTATATAGATTGTACAGTCAAATACCTGTAGAACTAGAAGAGTGTTCGCCTGTCAAGAAATTTCGTTACAAACCGGTAATGGTAAATTCAGCATGGTTTGTACATTGTGTATTAATTTTTTTATAGCCCAACCAGGCTTTGGGATGGACACCAATACAGACTGAGAGCTTAACACCCAATCATCTTATATCTCCTAATACCATTACTGATAGGTCTAGTACTTAAATAGAAACAATAATACTTAGTAAAACCATTGCCTATCTATATAAGACACTTTTTTCCACTGATTGGCCCTAGTGCATACAACTGACATTTTATGGCATTTTTGATGGACCTCTTGAGTGACCTGTAAATTCAGGTTTGACTTTATATCTCACTTTAGTAAAAGTAAAAAAAAAGTGGTTGCTTACTTTTATAGAAAGGCCACCTGTCTGTAAAAGTCATTTTGGCATTTCTTTTGATTGGCCATTATATTCAGGTTGGACTGTATTTGCATAATCCTCTCGGAACATGAATTAATCATACTCTTGCAAATTCCTATACTGTGTAAGCATGCGAGTCGGGTAACTATGCCAGGAAACTGTGCATTCTCGTGTGTTTTGTGAATGAGAGCAGTTCAGTCATTTACTTGTGCTAAGGTCAGAATCCAGAATTTTGTTTGTTTTCCTGTGCTCATACTTCCTGGTGGTGCGCATCTCCATATTTTGAAAGTGTGACAGTTGATAGAAAGTAACTATTTTGTTGGCCCACTTAAAAGGCATCTGTTCAGTGTTGGTTAGGCATATAAAGGGTAATTGTTTATAAGCGATATCTTCAATGTTTGTCCATGTCAGCGCGAACTGTGCTAATATACACTAACATCTGCTGCATTGTGTATGTTCATCGGCTAACACCATTACCTGCACATCTGGTCGTCGGAGTCTCCACTCACAGGGTTCTGCTTGCAATGCAGGTTATTGGGATTGTAATGAATGCTGCTGTGAGTTGTAGTAGACACTTAGGAGGTCCATTTATAGGTGATCAGTCAGCTCTGACTAGAACCTGACTTGGTACATTTACAAACGTATTGTGTCATTGCTCCGCCGTACTTAGAAGTGATAAATAACAGTGAACTAGGAAAAAGTGTCGCCACTGTTGCCGCTGAGTTGGCACCAGTACGCATTAGATCTAGTTTTGCCAGAACATCATTCACCTGCCGCTACTGCTCGTCGTGTCTCCTATACTTGTGCCGTGCACCTAGATGCTTACCAGTGCTTTACTAAAGTTCCAGAGTAAACATGCTGACGATACGTAAAATTGGATGGCATTGGCAATAATCTGCAGTCAGTGTTAAGTGTCTTTTGCTGTGTCGTGCTGTTAAGCCGCCATCTTCGCTCTGATGTCTGCCTGTGTTCTTGTGCCGAGTTGCTATCATGGCAGTGACGCTGTGCATGCCAGTGCATGTGTTTGGTATTTTCCACACCGTAGGTGTTGCAAAATCACTCACCTACATTATACCACCGGTATGTTGCGCTAATAAATTGCTAAGAATTTTTATACGTGCAGTTTAAATCATGTGGCATTTAGAATGAAAACAACATTGTGTTACACTTTTTTTTATTTCTGAACTACATTTGTCAATTGTCACCCTTGCGTAACTTTTGTTATATGTACGTTGTGTCACGTGTACAGGGTGCGAAATTAACGGGAGTCCGGAGTCAAATACTCCCTGATTTACTGTCGGACTCCATGATTTGACATCTATGCAGGAGTCCGTGTGACTCCCTGAAAATTCTGCGATACTGACTAGTTCGTTCCGGAGCACGGCCTCGCGCAATTACCGTATTTTTTCAGCTAATGTCCCAAGAAAATTTGGTAGACGTGCAACTGCATGAATCTTAAAAATAAGCACATGTACATGCGTTATTGTTAATATCTTTTTAATTTTGAACCTCAGACTGCGGACACCCTCATTTTGCTGCGGACTCCCTCTTTTTGAGGGTAGGGAGTCTGTTGGACTCCCGTGTTCAAAAGTTAATTTCTACCCCTGCGTGCATGTTTTTTAATGCATGGGCAATACTCTACAGTACATGGATTACTGCACACATACTTGCATAAACACACGTGTGTATCCTCTGCTAAATGTCAGTGAAATTAAGTTAGTTTATTACGTGTGTACGTGTGTGTGTGTGTGTGTTTGTGCGTGCGTGTATATATATGCTGTAGACCTTTCATAATGCGGGAGATTGGGTCTTTTGAACTGCATAATATCGATGTAACAGGCAAGGATGCATGGAAGTGGAAACGTCTTGGTATGTGATCTGACTCCTCGAAAACTCTGTGCATTTTAAAATATTGTGTTTAATACTGGATGCTACTTACTGTCGAAAATTTGTCTTACGAGTATGTAAAACCTTTGACACTGCATTATAAGCGACTCCACTTTATATTGAGGCACGGTATATCAGGTCTACATGTAGTGTATATATATAGGATCTGTCAGAATTTATTGATCTGTTAATGGAAAATACCAGCTATATTAGTACTCTCTACTGTAATAGCACACATGGTACCTACTTGGTGTTATATGTACTATTTAGCAACACTTTTTAAACAACAGAAACCAGTTTACAGGGTGCGAAATTAGCGGGAGTCCGGAGTCAAATACTCCAGGCTGATTTTTACTGTCGGACTCCCTGATTTGACATATGCAGGATTCTGTGTGACTCCCTGAAAATTCTGCCACTAGTTCGTTCCAGAGAATGGCCTTGCGGAATTACCGTATTTTTCAGCTAATGTCCAAAGAAAATTTGGCAGACGTGCAACCGCATGAATCTTAGAAACAAGCACATGCGTTATTGTTAATATCTTTAATTTTAAACCTCAGACTGCGGACTCCCTCTTTTTGAAGGTAGGGAGTCTGTTGGACTCCCGTGTTCAAAAGTTAATTTCTACCCCTGAGTTTATGCCCAAGAGATATATACACGTATAAGTTTGCAGAGTGCTCGTCATTGTTTGTCATCCATCCCCATTTACATTCATCATCGACAAAGCTGTAGCTACTAGCTAGTGTGGTGGAAAAGGGGCAGATCTATATTATCACGGCTGAATAAATGACAGATATTATTCACCTCTGGTATTATTTATTACATGACCAGTGGCAAACTGCCCACGGTCAACTGTCAAGAACAGAAACCACATGTGGCTTTACCCCCAACCCCATGGCCAGTGTTACCATTCAAAAGTGTGTTGTGGCCACAGTAAATACACTTTTACAAAGCTAATGGCAAGTCTGAATTCGGTTACAATTATGTATGCAATCTTTAGGAATGGCAGATGGGGTTGTACATGGTATCTGTGTACATGTTCAGTTGTAGGTACGTGACATGTGTGATGCGATGCTATCAATTCTTTTAAAATTGTGAAGGCCCCTGACTGCCTGATATTGATAAGGTTGTGATTGAGAGGGCAGCTCTGTTCCCCTCTTTAGAAATAAGAGATCGGTCATATCTATACATAACTGATGAGTAGTTCACATTATGATTGAGTTCATTATTAGCTCATCTGACATAGTCAGATGCAGCTTGTAGAATCGCATGATTGTCCGTCCGTCCGTCCGTCCGTCCGTCCATCCGTCTGTCAACAGTTGGGCACAAATCTTAACCGCTCGACGTACGGTCACGATATTCGGCACAT